ATTGGATGCATGTTTGTGACATGTTATGAGTTTTTTACAGATAAGATCTTTGGGAAAGACAGGTCTGGATTCACATGCTTCACGGATGGTACTATTTCCCGAATTAGGAAGTCTATTTTCCGGCCCGCAGTGTAGTATAATGTGTGAACAACATGGAATATATATGTTGTGTTGTATTAGTGCTAAACATTGATTGCTGTTTCTAAGTTGTTTTGACTTTCGAGAAGTCGAGAAGCACATTTTTCAGATTAATTCAGCAAAATGAGGGCAGCCCGGAAGGCCTATATCACAATGTTAACGAAAGGGAAACAAACATTTTGTTTCTGCCCTGTGATTCGTCGAAGGCTCTCCCTTACACCATGTTTCATAAAAGTTGGGCCTCCAGTTTTTTCGTAATCCTGCTAAAAATCAGACAAACCGAAAACATTAAACTCTTGTAGGTAATGAGACAAAAATCGATAGAATGCAAATAAGCAATTTCTTCAACAAGTTGAAATGGAGGTCGGGAATGCAAAAATACCTTGAAGAGAAATCATACACAATTGCAAATCCATCGACATTGTAACCTGCTCAGCTCAACCTCTGCTTTCTATCACAATAATGCAAACAAGAATAATTCAGCTGCTGACATCATGAAGATAAACACAAATCCTGTGAGCTTCACTTTGTACTCAAAGCAAGATTCGGCCGAATAATACGACACTCACATCTCTGTTAATATGCTAGTGCTAAATTGATTGCTAATACTAGTCACGTCCTCCTGTGACACACAAATCCTGTTCCTCCTCATCAACTTACAACCACTATCCATAACTTTAAATGTCCGCTCAGCATAATAGAAATTGGATTTATTTCAGTGTCTGACTTCCCCACACAAATCACATTTTATTCAAGGTTTGCTACAGCTATATTTTTGTTGCATTAAATTATACACTGTAGGTTATCAGCTATCCACTTTTGTTTTCACTCACGCCATAAAACAGGACATTTAGTTTTTAAAGTATGTGAGAAGAATCCTGGATGAAAGTGTAATAAAAAAGCACAATATAAAAACAAGTTAAGTATTAAATAGTAGAGTGTAAAGAGGAGCTCAATCACATAAAAGAGACATAAACAGTATGTTCACTCAAAAATAAAATTATGTATAAATCAGAATGGATGGACATTTCTACAACATGTCTATCTACTATCTTTAAATTGTTTAAATCCCAATTTAAATGCTCTCAAAGTCCAGCATTTACACCAGGGCCATTTTGACAGTTATATTCGAATCCTGCCTGCTCTTGAAGCTCTGCCTAATTTGCCGTAACACTCTGAATACTGTCTGAATTTAAATGAAAGTAGCTTTTAACCTCGCTCACAGAGAAAACTGATTTAGCTGAAGCCTGGGCTGACAGTAAAACCCATTTATTCCTCTCATCGCTGTCACCCTGACCATGTGGGACAGTCATCTCAGGGGTCGATTAGTGATGAATATGTAGTTGCTCCTTCTTTCTCACTCTCATCCATGAAGTATTAAAGAGAGAGCAGTGCGGGGGAAACGTCGCATAAGGTCCTTTCTTTTCACAGGCACATCAAAAATAACACAGGATTAGACAAGCTTATTTTGTTTCTGAATAGATGCTGGTTGCTTTGCATAAACACAAAGAAATCAAAAAGAGCGTGTAGATATAAATGCAGTATGTGCTTTTGTTTGTAGGACGAAGCGCGGTAAATAGAAAAAGGTGATATTAAAGCATGAACTAAAAGAAAACAGCCCTTTTGTCAGCTGTAAGACAGTGTATGCTCAATTGTGTTTTTAAATAGATGGTTTAGCTTTCTGAGTGGCTGAATATCCTCAAGGAGATGCTTCATCCTTAAGAATTGTGTGAAATTGAGTTGGAGCATGTTTTTCAAGAGATAAATGGGGCAGAAAATGCAAACAGTGGGACTTTGGAAAAGGATAGAGCTATGCTATTACTGTCTTATGTTGAATGATCTTTTTTTAACCCTTAGATGCACGAGTGACTGGACCCTACACTCTTCCATAAGTGGGTCTAAAAGGACCCGTATTAGAATAATATGTGTTTTTATGCCATTTTTGTCATTTTGGTTAAGAAAAATCACTTTTTGAACATATTGTCCCAAAGATCTCCGTTATTCTGAGACCCTCACAGTATTCCAGTCCATTTTCAAAACTCATCTCTTCTCCTCTTGTCTACTCATAGCCCCCCCCCCCATCAATCCATGCCGGTTGATCAAGTTTGATAGTCCTATACCCCCCACCCTAACCTTCCCTTATATTGTAAAGCGATTTTGAGTCCTTGAAAAGCCCTATACAAATATAATGTATTATTATTATTATTATTATTATTATTATACTGACGGGTATCAGATCTTGCTGTGTAAAATAATCTTCCTGAGAGGTGTCACTTGTGATGTAGTCTGTGTGGTCTACAGTGAATGTATTCCTGACAGCCACAGTGATAAGAATCAAAGGTTCCCATAGGATTCCATAGAAAATGCATGCGGGTCATTTTTGACCCACTTATGGAAGCTTGGGGTAGAAATACAAAAACTACAATTTCTTAACATTTAAATTTAAAATGTGAATGGCATGATATCCAAAACATGTTTTTTGAGGAATAGCTGGAATATGAAATGATAAAAAAATGTAATTACAAAGATACTTCAAGAAAACCACCTCACCGGGTCCAAAAAGACCCACTTATGCATCTAAGGGTTAAGGTCTCTTCTTAAAAATTATGCGGAAAAATACTATTCTCAGAAGAGTAGAGATGATTTATACCAGATTTAGCTATTGGCTCATTTCTCGCAACTAATCTGCACTCCCTGTAAAGGCACATGCTTTAAAAACTTTATTTTCCTTTACACAATTTTTAACACGGTTCAAAACATGGATCAAAATACTGTATAAATACCAGCACATTTATCAACTTTAAAAATACAATTAATGTCCAATGAAACACTTAAAGTGGACCTATCATGCTATATTTGAATAATAATATGTATACCATACCTATATAAGGCATATTTATACTTTTTTTTTTTCAAAATACCAAACAGATCATGCATTTTAGCCATGCCTCATTTTGCTCAATTTGACATTTTTTAGCTCTGTTTTTGCAAGGGCTGATTCTGTGAGAACAGCACCATCTAGAGGCCTGGCATATGTACTACAGCGTCTCCAGCGCTTGATAGGTCCCCTTTAAATCACTGTCAAAATAATGTTAGCAATACTTTTTCTGTGACCGTTTAGGTTTTAAGCATATTCCAACGCTTTTAGCTGTAAATGAAAAATCAGTTTGTGCAAACACAGTTGGCCTGATGGGATGTTTAAGTCTGTGCTTAATAATGCAGATCATCTAATTCTACTCTTGTAGTAAAATAACGTTTACTTTTTCTTATACAACATTTTCTGCCAATAAAGTTGAAAATAACACTAAAAATATCTAAAATAATAAGAAATAATTTATAAAAAATGCCGAAAAGGGATTACTTAGATAAATGGTTTTAGAACATGATTCAAAAAAGTTTATGGTTTAAAAAGAATCCAGATTAAACTGTCTTTATCTGAGTAACACGGTGACAAGCCTGGCAAGAAGATGAAATGGCTGACTGGCCTTCTTGCTTTGATCTCAGTGTGATTCGGCTGTCCTCTTTCAAGTTCAGAATAAATGCTGTCGAATCAGTTCTCTGGGAAGTATTCAGTTATGTCTCCAGTGTACTCCATATCAAATTCCTTTAGTTAAAAAGTGACGCTTCAAGTTATAACAGAATGCCATAGTGCAACTTGCAGACACGTGTGCGGCTGATATGGTTGCATCATCTTAAAGGATATGAATACAAATGCTGCTTCCATATCCCAGCAGTGCATGACTTATCTCCTTCTTTGCCAATTATTACAGTGGCAGTCTCATCAGGTGAACCTGCCTCTTTTTAGTTTTATTATGCAAATGCAGGAAATCCTTTTCTGTGCCTTGGGCCACCCCCACACTTTGAAGGATTCAATATTCATGATCTCCATCGTTCTATTATATTTGGGAGTGAGCCTATTTTGCTGTACTGCCTTTCATTTGGGACTGTGATGCTCAAACACTGATTATTGAGGATTATTTAGGTTCCATATAGGAAAACAAATGTAAACATAGTGGAGAGAACATACAGCAATAGGGGAGCATATGGTGGTGACTGTAGTGAGGGGGAATCAGGAGTTATGGTTCCCTGGGGACCCACTTACATCTATTATTCATGTTTTAAAGGGTCTGATAGCCTCTCAACCTATGTTTAGTTACAGCCAGGCTTGGGGGTCCTTATTTTAGCCCTTGTTTACATCTGAACCCATGTTTATTCAAACAGTGGATTACAAAAAAACATGTAGGAACAATACGTTCTAATTATGTATGTGAAATGTACATTTCTAAGTTAAGAAACTGGCAGTATGACGGGTTGAAACGCACATTAATATATCAGCTTTAACAGCATAATCTATATTTAGATTTTAATGCACAGTTCGTACTTTTTTATGATGAGCTTTTCACCACCGGAGCAGAAGAGCTTTAAATAGACCAAGTGTTGGATATTCTAGATTCAGCACTTCTAAATGTCCCCTCATAATATATTTATTAGTTAAGATCCTCCAGTGCTAAAGGGGATATTTCTTTGGCACATTAAGGTCAGTTTAAGGAATTGTGTGTAGAAGTGATTTATAAGTATTCTTATTTAAGTTCATATGCTGATTTTCTTTCAGTCAGAATACCTCCAAGCATTGCACGTACACAACGACTTACGTTAACAAAAAACATGGCTGTGTCAAACTGATTTTTTCATGCAAATGTACACACAACTCTTAGCAGAGCAGTTTCCGTTCATAAATAATTTAAACAGTGGAAGGAGAAGACGCATGGGGTAAAGGCTCCATTACCACATTTTATTTTTAATGCACAATATTTAGAAGTTGTAGTTAAATAGATTGTCATGATGTTAATCTGTGTCTCCAGGTGTGGAGGGGCACCATAGCCAGAATGCGGTACCGGCGAATGAGAGCGGCCCTCGTCATCCTGCGGGCGTACCGACGCTACAAGGTGAAGTCGTACATCCGCGAGGTCAACCGCCGCTTCAAAAATGTCCGATCCATGAAGGATCATGGCAGGCACGTGAAGTGGCCAACGCCCCCCAAAGTCCTGCGCAAGTTTGAAGAGGCCCTTAGGAGCATCTATAACAGGTACACTTCTTACATAAGATGACTTCCTCTATTCTGTATATCTGCTGCCTTTTCAAGATTCTAAAAAAAGGTTATTACTTATATTTGTTGCTAATTTGTATCTTTTACAGAACTTATGTAAACAGTTTGCAATACAAGAGAATTGACCCTAAACATAAAGTAAATCTGTAGTTAAATGTTTAAAAATGCATCCATACTGAATGATGTTCTTCAAAACAAAGGCAGATAATGAACCCTATATACAGTATATTGCTTCCTTTTGAAGAAAACCGTTTTCTTGAATAGCCTCAACAAAAACTGGATTTGACCCTAACTGCAGGAGAGAGCGCATGGCCTCCAGTGCTTTCTCCCATCCAGATGAGACCGTTTGAAGCAACTTACACATGTTTCCTTCTGCTTTGGGCTCACACTGGACATTGATTTTCTTCCTCCATCAAACACACATCACCGCCTTTCATCTCAATGTCTGTTTGTTTGCTTTTTTTATTTGAAGCAAGGCACAGTAAGAAAATAGCCTTCCTAGAAAATGATGTTGCCTGTCAGTATGTGTGAGTGAAAGGCCAATAACTGCACTACAGCTGGGGTCTGCTGCAGTCCTGCCTCATCGCCCCGCTGACCCACATATCAAGGCCCAATGCTGCAGTCGCAACGAAGAGAGTCGATATTTCTCTGCTCTTACTTCTCTCTGTGTGTGTGTTTGGATGTGTTTATCTCCAGGTGGTGGGCATGGACCCTGATCAAAGGCCTCTCTCCAGAAGAGACCCTGCAGGTGAGGGCTAAGGTAGCCAGTCTGGAGGCCCTGAAGGGACACAGGGCCGACCTGGGGCTACAGAGAGCCTGGGAAGGAAACTACCTGGTGAGTAGGTGGGAGGAAGTACAGTTATGTACAGTTGTAATATGTTTAAAGAAGAAAACTAAACACAAGAACAGAGAAAACTTGAGAGAATAAACCATGACAACACTTGAAAGGCACATATCTCCAACAAGCTCAATGCTGAATTCACATACGGACTATCCCATTCCTGAGTTGGGAAGCTGTTATCCAGACTTTGGTTTGTTTTTTGGCTGTTATTTGGAAACAACATGTACACTACAAAGAAAATGTTGATTTGATATCCATCCGAGTTGTTGTTTCAACCTAAGGGAGATTTGATCAGTGAGTTAAGTGAATCCTAGTTGGGACCTAATACATTTCTTGAATGCAGTACAAATGCCCTATATTTAAATGCAAATGAAAGTGAATCATCATTTCCAAGTTTCATAAGTAGTTTTTCCGTAGTCTCAATCAGTCAGACAAATAAATCCAGCGGAGATTTGCTAATGCGTGTTTGTTTTTTAATGCAGGCTTATGTTTCCTGTAACTGTGTAGCATGCATGAGCTGTTACTCTCTGGTATTGTGCTTTTAAAATCTATATTAGGGCTGCGTGTCAAACATCAATAAGTCTTTGGTAACTCGTGAAATGTTGTCATCAAATATCTGCTATTAAAACCATTTGTTACCAGTTGCCAGGCAACCAGTGGAGAGTCCAGGAAGTCACTGCTCCTAGCCAACAAATAGTCTGCGACATAGACCAAAGTAAATGAGCAAATTGTCCCACTGCAGTTTGTTCAGGTTAAACAAACAAGGTGCAATAATAGATGAAGGATTATTTTTGTATTTAGACAGAGCCTAGCTTGTAGTTCCCCATGTTTCCAGCCTTATTGCTCAGCCAAACAAACCTGCTTCATATTTACTATACAGACACAAAAGTTTTGATCTTCCAAAAAGCATATTTCCCATAATATTGCATTTTTTAAGTTGCATGGGATTTGAAAAATGTATAAATTGAAAAAAGTAAATTTGGTAGAAGATATTAGATTTATATATGCGCTGTTCAGCTGAAACGCAACGTCAGTGTACAGTAGCTGAGTAATGCTGAGTGCAGCTTTACAGTCTGTATAAAAAAGGATAAATGTCACAACAACCTAATTTCATTTGATGAATACTATACTGTCTTCGAATACTTTAAGATTAGACGAGTGTTCTAACAAGTTTTCTGTGTTTTTCTTGTCCGGCAGAAGCGAGACAGCCCTGACATCGCCTCATCCTTCACACTGGTTTCAAGCGAGCTGCAGCGGAAAGACAAATTCATGAGAGTGTTGTTCTCCTGCAACGTGCGCAAGGTATGAGCCTTTAGCGCATTTATCCTCTAGTAACCACATGCACACACAGTCCCAACATGCATCTGTCTGTACAAACAAACAAACAAACCCAACGGCTCGGGGTTGGAGCCATCGCCCTGCAGGGTGTTTGGATGTGCGCTCTCATCCTGTGGGGTGACTAATGAGGAGCTTTGTGTTTCTCAGATCAACCGTTTCCACAAGGCGGAGGACCGAGCTGTGCTCCTCACTGACCGCCACCTGTACAAGATGGACCCCCTGAAGCAGTACAAGCCCATGAAGAGCATCCCCCTCTACAACGTACGGCACACTCCACTCCTTAAGCAGCACCCTTTATCACAAACACATTAGACACAGGCGTAATAGGATTTAGGTGCAGATTACAAAAGAAGATTAATATAATGGCTGAATACAAGAGGTATCTTCTAGGTGCAATTCAATAAAGCATATAGTTTACATTTATAAGTTCAGGATGAGAAGATGAGCTGAATTTCTTTTGATTTTAATTATATTACATGTTACACACTTGAAATTGAAATGGCTCAAATCTTATTTCCTCAACATCCTTTAACCAAACATAGTCTTGTTGTGATTCACCTAAAATGTAGCCTTATTCATATATGTATAAGAAATACATACGAATAATGTGAATGAAGTAAAAAAAACATAATCTTTTCTATCCCACTTTTGGAAACACAGTCCACTCCATTTTAATGAAACGTAACAATTATCTGATTTTGAAACAATGAAGAATTGCAGGCCTTCTTTACGCAGCGTCCACACGGCGGCGTGCGTTGAAGCTAGAGCTTGTACTGGCATATGATTTGATTGGCTGACGCTTCCGTCGAAGCTTCCAAAGTTGAACATTGCTCAACTTTTGAAGCGAGCAACGCGAGCAAAGCGAAGCGACGGAACCACAATGCAGTTCGGCAAAGCGTGACGTCACCCCATTCAAAGTGGCAGAAGCGTTGAAGCTTTGCACGCCGCCGTGTGGACGGGCCGTTAGACTTCTTGTAGGACAGATTCATTTTATACAACAGCATAACATGAACGATATGGTATTCTTGCTCTGCTGTAAATACTGCTGCCTGTGATAGCAGCTTTGGCAGAGGTGACTGTATTATCTATTATATTATAGTATTCACACATCTCTCCAGTCCTATTGCAACATGTCAATATGTCAAAATCTCATCCAGCTCGACAATTGGCTGCTTTAACTCATGTTCCCACTGTGATAGGCCCATTAAGGCTGCTCAATGCACACAGCTCATGCAGCTGTTTCCATGGCAAGTGTGTCCTTTGTTTGGCTATGTGTTTACTTCATGCTACTTGTTTGCTTCGAGCATTGACACACATTGATTCATCTAAGGTTGCCTTTTTTTTTCATTTCTCGCTCAAATGTATTTTATTTGTTGTCAACCTTTCTCTGCGACATGCTCAGAAGAACACAGTTTTGGGAAATGTGCTTTTTATTTGGCTGTCATCAAAGATGACAACAATGCTAACAATTGATCACCTTTCGTTATGGTACAGATTAAACAAACAGACCGATAACCTACGATTCAGATGGGCAAAGACTAAAATCCTTTGTTGACTTAAAATGTATATAATAACAACCAAGATCCAAAAAGGCATTGTGAAAATATAGCAACAAACTCAATAAAAAGTCTATAAATAACAGCTTCTTTCAAAGAGGATATGTTGCCATTATAGGTGACCAAATAAGCATTTCCTTATTCAAAGTTTCTTATTTCTCGTGGTTTGAAAAAACGTATAAGAAAACGACTTGACAATATCTATAACATAGGTCTATCCTTTTTCCGACATTGTAATGCATAAATGTTACAAATGATGCATTAAAATGTGTAAAAGTCGTAAATATCCTCAAAAATATCATGCACCAACATATTTATGCAGTTGAAGAAACATTTACTGTTCAGGAAAACAAAAAGAGAATAGAAAACAGCATAACACTGAATGCGTGAACAAATTACTCGTGATATTTCTGAGTTAACCACCTCTCCTTGTGCTATTGAGCTATCATACATGCATTGTATTGGACGTGGGGCAGAAACGATACAGGAAGTGAAGGTGTTATGCATTCATCTCCGAGGCTCATACACCCCCGGCATCTAGTGAAATGAGTGAGATATGAGGCTGGTGTGCAGTGACAATTGTGACGAGACACCCCAGTGTTCAATCTGACAAAGTGACAAGAGGGAATTAGAGAGCTGGAGATGGACAACTGGAGCCTGTATCGCTGCACCTGGGGGTGAAATGTGGAGATGGATTTGAGGCAGATGGTGGCAGAGGGAGAGCAGCATGAGTTAAGGAGGTTTTTAGTTATTGTTCATTCAGAGAGAGTGATACACACACACACACGCACACACACACACTGAGCTGATGAGATGAAGCTCAGTCTCATAAACATGGCATATGGAGGGCCTTCAGCGTTGTAGAAGGACATGGAGGGGAGGTACTATGGTTTGCAGCTTTCACACATTGGAAGTGACAGAACAAGAGTCCTACAGCACACACACATTATAGCCAAATGTGTACTTGAGGCAAGATGCATTAACAGCTATTTTAATCCCCTCTTTTTAGCCACAAAACCATATGTTTGTTCCTGCTTTTGTTTTATAAATTAGGAATGTGTTGAATTCTAAAAGTAAAGGTCTGGTAATGATTTAGATTTTTGTTATTTGCAACAAATCCGTTAGAAACTCCTAAAAACGACAGGGAATTAATCCTAGCAACATCCTTGTGTATATCCAAAGCCTGATATAAAACCATTCAAATCACATAAATGTAACACCTTCATTACCATGAAAACAAAAACTCTGTAGTTTGGACCTGCAACCATCAGTCAATGAAATTATAAAATGATTGGCATTGAAATAAAAGCCTAGTATTTGATTAACTGTTAGAAAAATATCACTGGTCACTGGCTTGAGCTTCAATATCAGGATACATGTATTTATTATCCTCTCAAGAATGGAAGTAGTCATCACATACAGAGCATTTGGTACGACTAGTTCCTGAACAGTGTCCTTCACATGCTTATATACAAGAGAGTGTGTATCACAGTCACAAGATGGAGGAATACCTGTTCAAAGCAGTATTCAATGTTTAGTTTAGCTAAGACCCACGTCAGAAAGGATCATGCTTGTCATATCTTTATCTCCATAGAGGCTGAATCATCATGTTAATCGTTGTCACATAGCTATCATATTCCTAAAACAGTGTGTCCTGACGCTCTTCTAGGTAATCATACATCCTGTTACGTACACAGCTACGTAGGGCCTTTGTTATCATGTGCTACTCTGATATTGAAAGAGTACATTCAGTATTTTTCCAACATTAACCAATTAATATTATTTTCATGCAAAAATATATTTGGTTACCATCATATTTTGTAAATATCTTTAGGTTTTGGACTGATAAGACATGTAAAGGCTTTGAAACTGGGGCCCTTTTTTCAGACATTATATAGACTAAGCGATAAATCAAGAAAATAATCGGCATAATAACATCTTCAAATGCAGCCATACTGTAGTTTTTTCCTCAATCCCACATACTGTATTTATGCTGTAGAAACGCAATCGAGCTTAAAATGTGTGTTTATCCACAAAATAAGCCATGTTGTTTCTATACAGGAAAGTGCTTTTGGTTTAGTTATTTCATTGGATTTATTAACTGTGAGAAGTATAGGAAATGGCCGGCCTTATCGTTTAACATCATTTAGTTGTCAGCCCCAAGGTGCCATTCAATCTTCTAGTCACCATCCCTTCAGTGATTAGAACCACTCCCCTGCTGTATCCATAACCCCGGGCCATTTTAAATGTCAAGTATGTTGGTGAGTGAATTGGTCAAGGTGAAAACTTGTTAAGGCAGGTGAGAAGAAGTGTAAAGAGAGAAATGGGGGTGAGAAGGGCGAGATAGAGATGCATAGTAGCCTGAGACCCACGGCAGCGTGACGCGGAGCTATCGATCTGAGAAGGTCAAACGGAGGGGAAAGCAGTTAGCTCGTTGTTGATTAGCATTGATAAGCTAACACCGCTGCATCCCCTCTGCCTGCCCTGTTATTTACTGCTCCTCCCGCAGGGCAGCATAACAGCTGATAGATGGTTACACTGAAGGGCCAACTACTGTCTACCAAATGACTTAAAAGCGAATTAATCCCTGTGCAGCAAAAGTGAGATCATTAAACAAATTCTGGTGAAGAAATGGTGAAAAATCCATTCTGCATCAGTGACTCATCCCACCATCTTTCACTTCCTATTCTTTTCCTACACCCACCCACCCCCACCTCACCCCTCTCCCTATCTAGTGCTGTCTTTCCCCTCTCCCCTCTCCCCTCTCCCCTCTCTCTTCTCCACTTCTCTCCTCCCGCGGTTGTCATGCCGACTTCCCAGGAGACAGCGTTGTCATGGATACCGAGCGGCAGGGCAGATCAGCTGATGTCTGGTGTTGTTCAGGCATGTGCACAAATCGCTCTCCTGCATGTGCGCTCTTTTCCTCCCCTGTTTCCCTGTTTGTGATCCCTGCGGCTCTCCATTTCCTCGCACTCTTTCTCGCCTCGTAGGCTGTTTTTTTTCCTTCATCCGTTGATCCCTTTCACTTCAGCCTGGTTTTTCAGCACCTACAAACCCCACGGCTGCAATGTGGTTGTATAGACTTTGTTTATAAAGACAATATTTCTGATGCAGCCATGACATGTAATTCTTAGGCATATGCTACAGAAATGTAGGTGTCTGTTGTCTGTAATATACAGTCAAATAATGCAAAACATTTGACACAAGATCACAGAGATAACATGGTGAGGCATAATCCTGTTAATAAATTCATACAGAGGCAGGGGGGACAATATTTCTAGGGCTGCAACAAAAATGTCTTCATTATCGATCAATGTGCAGATTATATGTCTCGATTAATAGATTAAAGGGCTCAATTATGCTCATTTTCAGGTTTGTATTTGTATTTTGTGCCTCTACTGTGACATGTTTCCATGCTTTAAAAAGGCACAACAACCTATATAACACACTACAGGAAAGGGGAAACCCCTAAAAGCATAATAGGTCCTTTTTTAATCACTTTGGTCATTAACATGTTCATCCCAGTTTCTCAAGGGCTCAAGTAATGTCTTTAAATGTCGTTTTGTCCGTCCTACAGCTAAATATATTTAATTTAATATGAAATTAAAACATCAAAATGCTGGACATATTCATATTTTAGTGGCCCTTTTTGTGTCAAATTAGTTTCAAGAGTAATCGATTGCTGCAGCTCTGCAGTTGCCTCGTAAACATCCCTTGCTGATGCCCTCATAGCCTTACAAAATGAATAGCTACAGACACTGAAGCTTATTTTCTTATTTTAATTTAATGACCCCACCCTTTGTACCTGCTGCTTTTCTCCCCTTTTATCTTTACAGTACTGTTGGGATGTGTTATATAACCAATAAGCTCTCCCCATAGTAAGTATGCACTGGGAGAACCTGCCGTTTAAATGATGTCTTCAGAGCACTTCACTAAAACATTGTGGTCCAGTCCGCACATTGACAACTCAATTTGCTCATAAGTGCTTTCACCAAAACACACCCTCAGGTGTTGCTGTTTGGGAACATGACATTTATGAATGCAAACGAGACATTAGCAAACTATTTAGTGAAGTCCTCCTGTGTAACACTAACTTGTCCCTTTGTAATAGGGACAAGTTAGCCATTCAGTGTGATTCAAAGAAAGAGCTAGGATAGGATATGCATAGTATTTCCAGATTTTTCATAAATATTTAGAAGTGTAAAAGACTTGTAGAAATCAGAAAACATGTTGCTTTACAACTTTAGAGCATATGACACTTTTTGTCTTAAGAGCCGTGATTTAAGGAAGGAAAACTCTCCCCAAATGTTTTTAAACTAAATAAAGTGCACTAAAGTAATAGGTTGCTAACATACTGTTGGAGTATACGGATCACGGATGACGTAAAGTAAATGAACCATACAACCTGAGTCATACAACCTCCTTTCCATCATGTAGACCTTGAAAGATAAGAGACTACTGAAACACATAACAGGCTAAACATATCCATTCAAACATTTATTAAAAAGGAGAGATAAAAGATCAAAACATGAATTTCCTAAAGGACAATGATCCAAATCTAATCTACTCGTACTCATCCAAAGAATAAACAAATCAAATCATTGAGCTTTGGAAAATAATATTGTATTCTTACATTGTAAGGCTTCTTTCCTGATATCTAGTAATATCTCTAAAAGCCCTTTATAAACTATATTAAAACATTTCAAATCTGTTGGCGGTAATCCCAATCTGTGATCTTTGATGCGTCACGTCATTTCAAAACGTGAAGCTGCCCCTAACCAAGCCAATGTCTTCTAGGTAAACCCTGTGGTCTATAAACTGTCACATCCCATCACTGCAGTAGTAATGTACTAAATTCTAATGTGATGTACACAATTAGCTTTTTTGCCCGCCCAACAGCAAATAACCCAAAGATATTATGTTTAACAGGAGGCAAAGAAAAGCAAAACAATTTTACAGTAAAATGTTCCACCGAAAAAAGGCCTCAAATTTGATATAGTATCGAAAAACACAGATTGGCACCAAGATGTCCTTTTACCCATGTTGCTCAGAGTTGCATGCAATAGGGCTGCAAGATCCCTATTACCTCAGTGTAGGAGTCTTTAGTTATCAACACAAATTACCCCTAATAAGGTGGGCTGCAGTAATGAAATGTATCTTTCTGAAGTTTTCTCAAATTGTGGCTCGGATAGACGCTTGAGCAGATGGCCTGGCAGATAAATGCCTCTAACACGTCTCATACTCAGAGTAAAACTGATTTGGTGAAACAAGACCAAAAATTAGACAAGGAAACGCATCTGAATGTATCATTACCCAACTAATTAACGCTGACTGTGGTTCCAATCAATTAAGCCTTTAATATAAATGTAAATGTAATCGGCTCCATGTAATTAACTGCGGGTGGATTGCTAGACAGAGAGGCATGGCTTTAGGCTTTAATTCATGATGATTGCGTGAAGTGTTTGTTTCCGAAGTCACATGCTTCACGTCGGAGCTAAATCAGCTAGCTTGTTGTTTAGCCGCAGGAAGCATCCTGTCCTCCCCTGATGGAGGAATTTCTCTCAGCTTTGCAGTCTGCTGAGTGGATATTAATGCACCTGACTGGCTGCCCTGCGGCTGTTTCCTCAACATGCCTTAGCTTAGAAAGACAAATTAAGAGAGAAATAAATGGCTGGAAATCTAAGGCAGGGGATGATAAAAGACATGGAGGAAAGCTAGGGAAAAAGGAAGTGAGATAATAGTATAACAGAGAAAGGAATGAGGGTTTAATGAGCTCCACTTTCTCGTGAGATGCGTTTACCTATGAGGATATTGGTTTCTTCCTGTTGTGTCTACTTTGAAGACCTGTAAAGCTAAACAACCCAACCGCAAAACTGGGATTCCCCTCTGAGCCCGGCTGCTTTCCATTCCTACGTCATTTGGGGGTCTGAGTAGGAAAATTCGATTGGACCTTTGGGATTCTGATCAATAAATCTTTACTGCAAGTGCTGATTTAAGCCTTGAGTGGGAGACACCGACAGACACCAGATACTGAGAACACCTCAGCAGTCTTTGCTTCGGTACAGTTTTTACAAGAGCTTCAAAAGCTCTTAACACAAAACGGTATACCGAGACTTAATGTAGCATGCAAATTAGAAACAAATGCATCCTTAAGTAGGTAATCCATGATACGTTAAGTTAAGTTACAATTTATTGTTAGATTTGAATATTGTGGGTGGGTTTTAAAAGGCCCACTGTATGAGATCTATGTTGTTTTGTTTGTGATTTTAACGCCCCTTATTGTGAATTGCCCAGTGCTGTCAACCAATCTTATATCTAAATATATCTAAATGACTTTAAAACGAGGTACGCAATGGTCCTTTTTTTAAAGGATGTACTAAAACAACATGAACTTATAAATAATGGACATAAATATGTACAAATCAATATTTACTGTTGATATCAAACTGTAAAGTCTTACTAACTTGTACTTGCCTATTTTAAGTCGAAATGTATCTGTATCCATTATAAAACAAACTAAATATTTGGCTATATTTAATATGGAAAATTAAGCCTATTGTAAAACGGGAAACCACAGTTTACATTAATTAACTTTAGCTTAAAAGCCTTTATGGAAAATGTAAGAATTAATAAACAATATCCATCAAGTTTAGCATAACCACACTGTTTGGATGACCATCAGTACCTTTTCGTCATGAAGGTTTTTCTTCTCATACTAAAACGAGATGTGCTGAATACTGAAGTTCAGGTTCTCCCTTTAGTTCCAGTAGAGGTTAAATGTGATGAATTATAGCCTGGTTCTTCCTCCCCAGTGAATTCACGTCCTCTGGGGTGCACCAACTTGAATTCCCTGATATGCATCTGCGTCTGTATATGCTCTTCATTTGTGTGTATAGTACAGATGGTTATGTGATCTATTTCTCGACACACATTGCTGCCTTTTCACATGTTTGTGTTCCTCTGTACAGTATGTACATGTTTATCTGTGTTTAATTGTGTGTCCTCTGCCTCTCTTTGTCCCAGGTGACCGGGGTGAGCGTGTCCCCGGGGAAGGACCAGCTGGTGGTGTTCCACACTAAGGACAGCAGGGACCTGGTGGTGTGCCTGCAGGGCATGGTGCCCGCCAATGAGAGCCGCATCGGGGAGCTGGTTGGCACCCTACTTAGCCACTTCAAGAGGTACGTGCTGGGGCAGCAAAGGGCAACAAGCGGTTAAAGGAGCTACATCGGTAGTTTATCGAGAGGTAGCTTGATATTCGTAACTGCTGAAATGATGCTCAAGGTCTTAAATAGCTGGTTCAAGTTGAGGTTAACACAACCTTTTGTTTTTCTAGTTTTGCTCAGATAACCACTTTGACTTAGTAATCATTTTATTTCTCAACTTAAACCAATGCGCTGTATTTAGTTCAGCCTCCAGCAGTATTGCAGATCAAAGGTAGTCTAAAATGACAATTACTTATTTCTGAAGGCAACAGCGCTAGGATTAAGATAAGATAAGATAGTACTTTATTGATCCCAATTTGGGAAATGTTTGCGTTGCAGCAGCATATTACATATATTACATATTACATTATACAGTATATCGCTAATTGACTGAATGATTTTCTTTTCTTTCTTTTCTACATCGCTATTAGGGCACTTCAAACTACATTGCTATAATAAACAATATGTTATTTAGCTCTCCAGAATTATTTAGAGATGTTTGACGTGAAGTGGTATGTCCGCGAACCTTCTCTATAATTCTAACATCACGCATCTCCATTATCTCGCCTTTTGCAGCAGGATTATGAGTCAGATGTAGTGCACGTCACAGATGTCCTCACTTGATTTCCAACATTTAAACTAAGCTTGAGAGTCTCTTAAGGACAGGACATTGTGAAGACTAATGTTCATTATGTTCTCTACCTCTTCAGCAGAGAAAATCATAAATATAGATTCAATCTTTTCATCGTACAGGCACCTTCTCTTACGGTCTATTCACTGAGGTTCACTTCATTCAAATGAACATTAGGTGTGTGAAAAAAGTATTGCATCGTGAACACGAGGTACCATCTCAGTATCTCCTCCTGTGTTTATTGAATTTTAGCTCGGTTCACATGAGGTCTTTCTTACTGCAGCAAATCTACTTGTCATCACCACTTACATCAGAAAGAAATCAAGCACCATCTTCCTTTAACACCAGACTTGTGGTCCTCACTTCACTCTTTTCCCTACATTTTACTAAATGAACCACTCGTCAAGTAAAAGTTTAAGCTTTTGTTTATGTTATAAAATGAGTAGCTGTCACGTGTTATTAATTGTGTAGTATTACAATCTTCAGCCAATGTTAACAAGCACTCTATCCCTGTCATTACAAGCTGCTTACACATGGTTAAGTATCACATCAGCCGGCACTCTTTACTCCTTGAGCTGCTTCTTATTTCAAGCTCCAGCAAAACATTTCTGAATAAAATACATTGAATTCATTCCCACTTTCATCCTGTAATTTAATCCCAGGAGAGGTTGACACTGTCACCTTAGTTTACATTGATGTACACACACAGAAATGGAGGGAAACGGAAATGCTGCTGAAATGTTAGAAAACCCTCACATCAGGAGGCATTTCAAAGCTATGGGGCTGGCTGATGTATTGTAGAGAACTGCATCAGTCCTTCAGGGTCATGTTTGTTGGCAGACATGTCCTGTGTGGAGGTCAGACAAGTCTAGATGTTTGTTTCCATTTACTGCATAGAGAACATCTGCAAGTCCAACCTTTTGTCCCTAGTTTAGCCCAGAGCACTTTGTTTTAATCATTGGAATGTATTGGTGATTAAATCAATCTCTACTGCTAAAATAGCTCCATGTTGTTGGGATTTCTCCTCATTGCCCTCTTGGTTTGTTCTGTGAGCAATACAAGATTTGATTTAGGTCTGTCTAGTGTATTAGTTGGTGCAAAATGTGTTTGCACCAAGCAGGAATCACCATAGTTGAATACCAAAGTCAATGCTAAAGCGGAAGTTCCTCTAATGACTGATAGATGCTCTGATTACCAGGGGTGACAGGGAAAGCGTTGTTCATTTGAAATAGTCATTTGAAAGTAAAGACAGTAAGTTGGGGCAAAGAGGCTATTTCCATCACTGCTTGTGGGATTCAATTACTAGATGGTGTAAAGTTATGGTGTGTTGAAGTGGCTAAATCATTTCTCTCTAATCTTTTGAAAAAATGACGCAACAAATGTTTTGTTTTGGACATTATAGTTTTTATAGCCAATTGCAATTACTTCTAATGTGGATTGTTGTTCTTTCTAGAATACAGTTGTATTAACAGAGGCTGTACTTCACACATTAGCATGCTAACATGCTGATGTTGCATGCTCACCATCTTAGTACCTAGTACTATCTATCGTGCTAAATGTGTGCTAATTATTACTAAACAGAAAGGTGAATTTGGTTTTTGGTATTTAAATACAATTTTGATCAAATTGTTGTGCTGGATGAAAAGTCAGGAACCACAGTGGTAGAATGTACCCTTAGGGGATCATCAATATATATAACAGTTTGTGACAATTCATCCAATAGTTGTTTAAACTGATAATGTCACCTTCATGGTAACGTTAGAAGCAAAGACAGGGGACCACTAAAGTCAATTCATCCTCTGGGGAGCATGAAACATTTCATTGTAATCCATCTCATAGTTGTTGAGAGATACTACCCATCTCTACCAAAATATAGATTTCTGGCTCCTATAGAACAGCACCCATTTCTAAACATCCCTTTAAAAAGAAAATGTCAACAACAAAACTCGAAATGCAAAATAAGAGTTTAATTATACCAAAACAAAATCAAAGAGTAAAACACATTGTAGTCCTTTCAGATATTTTGATGACTATACATCTGCTGTGATTGCTGTTTTGATGAAGCTTTTCACTGATTATTAAATTGACTTCTCCACGATAGTCTGGCACATGTATTGATTCACGTGTTCGTCTTTACCTCTCTTTGTGTGTATAATTATGTGAGAGAGACAGACGGGGTGTGTGCATGCAGACAGATGTGTGTATGCGCGTGCTGCTTCACCTGTGTGTAGGGGAGTTGTGCCTCTGCTCCATCTTTGCCAGTCTGTGATGCTATCTTGTTCCATTGTGGAGCCCATTTTCTCTGTAGGTGTCTGGCTTTGAAAGGCCCCCTGTAATGACCCTCCATGTGCTCCGCATGCCGACTCATCCATCACTCCACAACACCGACAGAACAAAGAGCACATGAGCAAAAATGTGTGTGTTATCCTGATTGGTGAATGTGTGTGTGCATTGGGAGGAATTCCTGCAGGGCTCTCTGCACTCATGCAACTGTGTTTGTGCATCGTGTGCGTGCAGCGTCCGCGCCGCTGCAGCTCCCTGCAGATGAGGCTTTAACCTTTATCTCCCCTTCAGCATGCTGCAGAGTGCAGAATATGCACAATGGCGAGCAGGGAGAAGGGCAGCTTACAGCAGCAACAAAGCAACACGTTATCCTCCTCAAAGTGACAGCGAGGCCAACGCAGAGTGACACCGCTGCTGGGAATAAACCCTTAGCTTTGTGCAGAAACCTCACATTTCTGTGAGGCTGGATTTGTTTTTGACAGTTTCTAAATCCGTATGGCATTAATCTGTTTGTTTTTTTAATGTTATTCTGAATTTTGAGAGTTAGACCAGGCTGTTAGAAAGCAGTAACTTATCAATACCTCAACAAGTTGCCTCATTCTGTAGTGATTCATAGATTTTGGCGACACATACATAAGAAGATAACCTCCTTATGGACCATGACGCTTCAGTTGTCTGAAGAAATCCAGAAATACTTCTTCTTATTTTGCATAAAAGAGTGGGGGGGGGATTAGATTCCCATGCCTTCAGCCTCCCTCCTCCACACTCCATCCTTCCTTCTCCCCTCTCTCTTCTTCGTGCCTTTTTCCTATTTTAGACTACATCCCTTTTGTACTGATCTCAGTCTCAAGAACCCCTCGCAGCCCCCCCTCTCCACTCTCTCCCAATCTTCCCCTTCTTCTCTCCTGGCTCCCCCTTCTTCATTTCTGGAGAGGAGAGGAGGCAATGAAATATTTAAGGCTGTGCTGCTGTGGTCCTATATTTAGATGAGACAGAGCTACCCTCTCTCTCTCTCTCTGACTTGTGTGTGTGTGTGTGTGTGTGTGTGTGTGTGTGTGTGTGTGTGTGTGTGTGTGTGTGTGTGTGTGTGTGTGTGTGTGTGTGTGTGTGTGTGTGTGTGTGTGTGTGTGTGTGTGTGTGTGTGTGTGTGTGTGTGTGTGTGGTGTGTGTGTGTGTGTGTGTGTGTGTGTGTGTGTGTGTGTGTGTGTGTGTGTGTGTGTGTGTGTGTGTGTGTGTGTGTGTGTGTGTGTGTGTGTGTGTGTGTGTGTGTGTGTGTGTGTGTGTGTGTGTGTGTGTGCGTGCGTGCGTGCGTGCGTGCGTGCGTGCGTGCGTGCGTGCGTGCGTGCGTGCGTGCGTGCGTGCGTGCGTGCGTGCGTGCGTGCGTGCGTGCGTGCGTGCGTGCGTGCGTGCGTGCGTGCGTGCGTGCGTGCGTGCGTGCGTGGACATGCGGCCCACGCTGCAGCGACTGCAGCATTCCCACCGTCCGCTGCCAGGATAGCAGAGCAGACACTCTGCATCTGTCACACACACTCAAAATCAATGAGACATTCAGGGGATCCGAAAGACCTTACTATACGTTTCACAAGTTTTCATGCCTGTTGAAAGTATATTTGATATATATTCATATATACTATATTAGACAAGCATTTATTCTTAACCCTGAATCAGATCAGAAATCCTTTATTTGATCGAGAATGTTGAAATGTACATTGTCTCAGCAAAAGGAACAGTGCAGATAAAAGGTTAAATAAAAAGGGTACATTATTATTTGAATAGGCAAGCACTCGTTGATACAAATAAAAATCAAAAAAGGTAAAAAATCCATGGTAAAAAAAATATATATATATAATAAGCAGCACCATAATAAAAATGAACAAATAAAGAGAAAGATTTTAAATGTGAACTATGTATATTTCACCCCCATATTATTAGTAGATGTATTAGGTTAAAATAGGGAAGGTCTCTCTGGTTTCTAATATGTTGGTATTTGAATTAGCTGTTGATACTTTGTGCTGTTTATCAAACTTGTCCCTCCCGACATGTTGTCATTTAAATGTAGGAT